AAGATGTTGTTACTCATTTGGGATGGGTGCAGGAGGCACGAATGGATAGGCTGTTACATAGCCTCTCACCCTGGGAGTGAGGTTTTAAGATTTTGGGATCCTTGGGGCACCTGGGTGGCTCAGTTAAGTGTCTGCCTTTGGATCAGGCCATGATCCCAGGGTCCTGGAATCGAGCCCCACATCGGGCTCCCTGATCAGTGGGGAGTCTGCTTCCCCCTCTCCTTCTGCCCCCCAACTCATTCTTGTTCTCTCTCTCTAGTGCTCTCTTTCAAATAATTTTTTTTAAAAAATCTTGAAAAAAAAAATTAAACGTCCTTTTCTACATTCTTCCTGCCATCAAAACCTGTTCTTAGCTTAGCAAGCCATCTGATTTCAGTGGTCTTATAAATTATTTGTCGATACGTTTTAACTGATAACAAATGGCATTTTGATAAGCATCCATGCCTTAAGCCAAAGAAATCTCTGTTACCCATGGGCTTTCAGATGCTTCAAAAAGCCAGGAAGGGAGGCGGGTGGGACTGAGAAAGGACACTTGGGCCTGGAGTCCCGGTTCTGTCCAGTTTGTAGGTGTGGGGCCTCAGTGAATCACATCTACCTCTCAGTGTCAGTCTCCTCCTCCGTAACACTGTGGGGAATGGTGTCTACCAATGGGGTTTTTGGGAGATACCACACAGAGAGCCAAGTGTGGGTCTGGCCCATAGTAGGTGCTCAGCGCCCTTCTCCCCCCACCGCAAAACTCCACAGTCCCCCCACCCCAGCCTCTGGCTAATTCTGTGCAGATATTCTGGGGGAGTAGGCTGTCAGACCCTCTCTGAACTTCACCTGGGGTGGTTTTCCTAAGGACTAGGTGCACTTAATTTTATGAAGTGCCTAGCAGGGCGCTTGGCAAATAAGCCCTAAAAAAAGGTCACGTGGTTGTTGGCCACTGTTTGGAATCTTCATCCATCCATCCGTCCATCCATCCACCCACTCATGCACCCATTCATGCAACAGAATGTACCACGTACCTACTATGTGTCATTCTTGGGACCCAATGGGGAATATGACAGAGTGCTTGCCTTCAAGGAAATTTATACTCCAGTGGGACAGTGGGAGTGGAAATGGTGTATGAGGAACAAATGATCAACACAAAAATCTAAGATGGCAGGAAGGGCCATGGAGAAAACTAGATTAGGGGTGGAGAGAGTTTTTGTACCTCCCTCCCAACGGTGTGCCTGTAAGTTCATCAGTTATCATCACTGTAACACTCACTAACATTTAAATACCAGCTATATGCCAGGTGGTATATATTTCCTCCTACAGAAATAGGTAATACTAACAGACGTGGACATGGAGGGGCAGAGAGGTTAAGTGACTTACCCAAGGTCATCCAGCTTCTGGCAGGGTTACAGCTGGAATGAAGGCCTGCTCATTCATTCATCCCTCACATCTTGTGGTGGGAGCTAAAAAAAAAAAGGTGGGGCGGGGGAGTGAGCCAGACATTGTCCTTGTCCCCTTGGGAACCCAGAGCGTGGCTGAGCAGAGAGACAGACTAGGCCGGATCAGCCCCACGCACTTGCCTCTATGTGAGGCTGTCTTGACCTCCAGGGCATCACGGAGCAAAATGGGGCTCGGAAGTAATAATAACAAAAACAACCATGATGTCTGGCATTTCCTGAACACTTGCTACATGCCAGGCTCTGTGCTCAGCACCTTCCCCTTGTTCTATGATTCAGTCTACTTACATAGCCCATGATGCACAGATGCTGTCGTTATGCCCATTTCACAGAGGAAGCAACAGAGGCTTCAGGAAGTTAACAGACCTGATGTGAGTTATGCAGCCTGCCTGATGCCCAGGCCAGTATCCTCAGTGTTCAGGTGGGTGGTGGGAAGAAAGGGAGGTGGGACTGGGCAGTGCCAGTCTGATATTGGCGGGCAAACCCAATGTCAAGGTCAATGTCAGGGGTTCACAGTGACCCTATAGCATCCAGAGGCATTGGACTTGAGCAGCCAATACCTGGGTTCCTGAGAACTCTGAAGCCACAGAGTTGGCTTCTCTGGGGGCTGGAGATGCTGAGGTGAGGGCTGGCGTGGCAGGGAGGGGAAGGCCTTGGCCCATGATGGGACTTCACTCTGGTGTGGGGGTTCCACCTTGAACTCAGGGGAGTTAAATGTGTCAAGGTACAACTCCCCTTCCCCAACCTTAAGGGAGGTGCCTGGGAACTGAAGCCATGTTTAGGTAGCTGTCAGTCCGTCACCCTCTGCATCACTGTGTGCTGTTCAGGGGGCTCAGAGAGACCAGGGGACCGTCAAGCACAGGGGTTAGAGCAGCCCTGCACAAAATTACCAGGAAGGGTGCTGGTCCTGCCCCTCCTCACCATACCCCTGGCCCCACCCCCAGGGAGGAGTCTGGAAGAAGGGCAAGGCTCAGATGACAAGCCTGACTCCCTGCCCCTCCTTAATTTGCATACTTCATTCTTGGTCTGATAAAGCCGACCCAGTCTCCTTTCAGCTTCTGGAGCCCGCCAGCTGTGCCCGCTGCACCTCAAGTCATTTAAATCCTGCGGATGTTCTTGATCTCTATGAGGTGTCTAGAAGCCCCGTGTCTGCAGCTCACCTCTGCTGCCTATTGGATGGGTGGCCTGGACAAGCTGGACTTTTCTCTTGGCCCCTGTTCCTCCAACCTCCCCAGCCTCTCACAGAGAACAGTTACTACCATCATCAATAGAAATTGTAATACATCTAATATCGGGGGCTCCTTCTTCATACAAGGCTGTGTTAATGCTTTACCTTTATTAGTTTTTCTCATCCTCTCAGCTACCCTAAGAAAGTGGGTGGTTGCCATCCCTATTTTATGGCGGAGGAGCTGGAGCACAGAGAGTTTAGGTGACTCACCTGAGGTCACACAGCTGGCAAGTGGTGGAACGGGGAAGACCCCAGGCCCCTCATCCTGTTCTCTGTATACGCTCCATCTGATGATTCTTTTCTTTGATGTCACTGAGGGTCTAATCGCACTGTTGGCTGTCTCCAGTATATTATTTTCTTGTGTGTCTGACAGTCTGTGCTGGGAGCTGGTGCCTGGGGACTTTGTCTTTGCTTCTCCAGGGGTCTTAGGGAATCACCAGCCTGGGGCCAGTCTTTGCCCTTAACTGGCAGCCTCTGAGCATGCAGAGGGACAATTCGGAGCCATATCTCAAAGGCAAGGGCAAGTCTCCCAGGTCCCAGGAGGTTCTGGTTTCCTCATCCCTCACCCTCGCACCTCCTGTTCTGCCTATGTCAGACCTGCTTGCTGTTGTCTAGCTTTGCTGGGTGCATGTACGTGTTGGGGAAGGGGGTGATTTTTCCAATCTACCCTCTTTCTGGGAGTCTGTCCATCAAGTACTAGCTCCTTTCCAATGTCCTGCCCTGATGGGACTCAGGGCCCGATCACTGGTCCTTGAGGCCTTAATTCGTCAGTTCCCTTTTCTACAGAGCCCAGCAACACGAGATGGCCACCTTCTGTTCCTGCTTGCCCTACTGGTAGTCAGTTCTCTCTCCTACACATGGCCCCCACGGGTTCCCTTTCCTTCCGGGGAAGCTCTACCATGCATTGGAAGATCTTACGCAGCATTTCTTAATTTCACGTAACCATTGTCAGGTATCCAGCCTGCCCGGAGGTTGAGTCTGTGCATGTGTCCGCTGTCGATGCCACTTTGTGCCCAGCCCTCTGCAGGACACTTGTGACACACTTATGGTTTCCAATACTGATATGATCGTTGATGTGCTTAGAGCCAGGAATCTGGGAGGTGCTCAAATCATGTCCTTCTCCATGCCCCAGAGGTTGAGATGCAGTTAAAAAGAGAGTGCCCAGGGTAGGGGTGTCTGTTGACCCAGGCACCGGGCTAAGATTGTCACACACACTACCAGAACTTCGCAACAACTCCTCTCAGGTAGACACTGGCATCGCTTGCATTTCCCAAGCAGGGAGACTGAGGCTCAGAGAGGAGGACGAAATTGCCTAAGGCATAGGCAGGAAGTGATAGACCTGGGATTGGAAGCCCTGTGTGAACAGGGGTACCAGGGATGGGCTGGTGTGGAACATCAGAGCCAAGGGCTCTGGTGTAGTAAACCCATCCCACAGGTGGACACAGGCATCTGTGTCTGTAGAGCGCGAGGGTGGTGGCTGGGGATGGGGTGCGGAGGCAGGTTGTTTGTATCTGCTAAGACACAACTTCCCTGGGTGAGGGAAGCCTGGCGGCGGATGAGGGTTGGATGGGGAAATCATCTCCCTGAGCATGGGTCAGCGTGATCTGAGGCCGGAAGCAGCTTGGAGGCTGCCTCACCCACTCGTCACCCATTCCCCCCACCCCACCCCCGCTGAGGTCATCTACATCACAACACTCTGGAACCCTTCTCCCTGCCCCTTCCTGAGTGGTGGACCCTGCTTCATCTGTGTGGAGCCTCTTCCTCCAGGGAGCCCTTCCTAACCTCCACTCTACCCCACTGCAAGAGCTAACTTGCTGAGCGCTCACCTGGGGCTTCCCATGCCTGGGTTCATTTCCGTCCTGACACTGCTCTTGAACCCATTTTGCAGATGGAGAGACTGAGGCTCAGAGAGGTTAAGAGACGGGGGACAGCACTGCTGTCCTCAGCTACTCAGGACCCTTCCACTACCACTTAAAACCTTGGCACCCTCTTGCAGAGCTTTTGTAAATCCCTACTGACCACTCCCAGGCTCCTGGCAGGGCCATCTCCAGACAGCCAGGAAGACCTGTGGGAAAGCACAGCTTCAGTGCTCCCCAGAGCCCCTCCCCACATTGAACCTTCCTGTCCAGGTTCCTTCCTGCCCCTTTCCACCCTGACTGTGGGCAGTCCCTCTCCCCTTCCCTAGCCCTTGCCTTCTGTATCAGACTGATACCCTAGGACACAGACATGAACAGGGGCCAGCCTTCCCTGGAGAGGCTCACAGTCTAGTGAGTAGGTGAAGAGGAGGGGCTGGACCTATAAATGTCAGGTGACCCACAGCAATAATAATAGGGACCATGAGCCTAAGACCTGCTGTGTTGGGCAGGTGCTGTGAGCCAGGTATGGAGCTGACAGCTTGACATGGACAAATTCTTAATGCTCTCCATCATTGCTCTGAGAAAGTACACTCCTTTTTACAGCTGAGGAGACTGAGGCACAGGGAGGGGTCATGGCTGGCTGAAAGACACAGAGCCAGGGATTCCCGTTCCCGGGATTTAAGCCCTGGCCTCTGTGCATATGTAGGTATTTAAGAAATATGTAGGTATTTAAGAAATGCTGCTATGGTGTGTCGCGAGATACTATGAGTGTGCACGGGTGCACAGTTTACACAGCTACGTCAAGGGTGGTGGGCAGCGGGTGGTCATCAACAGAGGGGTCCCCTAATCCGATCTTCCAAAGGCTGGCCAGCTGGCCAGTGTGCCTTTCTCGTGCATTGCTCAGTTGACGCCCAGGGGCATTAGTGATGGGACTGGGTGGATGTGTGCATGGGGGAGTGGGGTGTCATCAGGCAGGGCCATCAGCCCATGATGGAGATTTCTGGAAGGTCAGGAATGGTGCTCAGTGAGCGCAGCTCCCCTTCTTACCCAAGTCTGGCCTTCTGCCAGGGTGCCTTGGACTTGACCCCCGTCTTCCTACTCTTCCCCTCACAGGGAGCCGGGAGGCTGCCTTCACATACGCCATCATCGCCGCTGGGGTGGCCCACGCCATCACAGCAGCCTGTACCCAAGGCAATCTGAGTGACTGTGGCTGCGACAAGGAGAAGCAAGGCCAGTACCACCGGGACGAGGGCTGGAAGTGGGGTGGCTGCTCTGCCGACATCCGCTACGGCATCGGCTTCGCCAAGGTCTTTGTGGATGCCCGGGAGATCAAGCAGAATGCCCGGACTCTCATGAACTTACACAATAACGAGGCAGGCCGAAAGGTAGGCGGCCAGGGAGGGGAGCCGGGCAGCTCTTGCAGACATTCGGGAAAACAGCTGATCCCTAATGGCTGGTGTTGGGTCTCTGGTGGTGAACCACAGGGCTCTGCCCTCAGCCTCATTCTGCTTGATGCTGTTGTCCATTTGCTGCTGGTCAGGACCTGTGTATGGCATAAAGCATGTCGGTTACTGGTGGAACTGAATAAGCGAATCTCTGTTAAAATTAATTGGATGTAACTCGGCAGGATGGAAAGAGGGAGGGATGGATGTGAAGTCCTTGGGTCCACCAAAATCAGCTATACAAAACTCTGACGATGGGGACGGGTTGAGGTGAGTTCTGCCAGGGCCGCTAAAATGTCCTTGGTCACCTTAACCAAGATCTGGAGCTCAAAATAAGGGAGGCAACTGTTCCATCTCTATTGTCTCCTCAGATCCTCCTGGATTCTGGGTTCTTTATAGAAGAGAGTCAGGGATGTTTCAGGGTATTTCTAGCAGAGGTGGCTGGAATAGAAAGGGGGCTGGACACCCTGTCCCATGAGGAGCTGGCTGTCCCAAGGCAAGGGAGTACAAGGGTCTGCAGGCCCAGAGTATGGATTGAGGGCCTGTGGGGACTGAGGTCCCAGAGAGGCAGGTCCTGCCAGTGTTAGGACAAGCCAGGGCCATGGAGAAACAGATTGAGATTCAAGAAAGTGAGCTTCCCATCCCAAGAAGTATTCAAGCACAGGTATCTTGACCAGGTGACTCGGGGCACCCAGGTTGGTGCTGCCTGGTGTGGGCAGTGTTCCAGGACAGAGGCCTAAGGTTGGGACCAGGTTCTGGGAGTGCCTGCGAAGGCCAAGGTACTCGGAGCCCATCCTGGAGCTCCCAGGCCCTGGAGGTGCTGGGAGAGGAAAAGTCTCTGGGGACTGGTTGGAGCTCCATAGCAAAGTGCCTGAGAACCAAGGCAGACAGGGAGGGGGGCTCCATGCCACCTGGGTGGGAGACGGACCACTGCAGCGACAGGACATGTGTGAGCACCACCATAGGCCACGGGGGCCAGGCAGGAGCAGGAGTGATGAGAGTGAGGGAAACCATGCATCAGATGATGGTGAACCAGCGAACCCAGGCCCCTTTAACCAGACTCCAGCTTGGTTCCCACCTGCTGGGGCCCTGCAGGAATGCAGGAATGCTGGCCGGACTCAGACTTGACATGTAATTTTTAAGTGTTGGCATTGAGAACTGGTAGTCACTAGCAGACTCTTAAAAGCTACAGAAAAGATGAAAAGAAAAGTCGCCGGAGTGTCAGACACCTCCATCTCCCAGCCGAGTGTGGGCCTCAAGCTGCTCATTTCGGGGGACAGGTGATGACGTGGCCCAAGTCTTGCGCTGCAAGAGCACGTCCGTGGAACGGGCTGCCTTCTGGCTCCCGATGTGTATCAGCTTACTTAGTCCTTAAGGTGTCCCTGTGAATGGCCTTGTCCTTGTCCCTGTTTCACAGGTGAAGACATGGAGGCACAGAGCTGTGAAGTAACATGCAGAGGTTCCCACAGCTTAGGAGCCAAGCCAGAATCCGAACCCAGCACGTCTGGCTCTCCAACTGGCCTTCTTGGCTCGCCACGTGCTGCCGCAGCCCCTTGGGTTCCCACTCTGGCTCTGTCACTCCTTCCTTCACGGCAAGGAAGCAGAGCTGGCCAGAGTGTCCTTGGGGCTGAGGTGGAGAGCTCTTACCCCAGGGCCTGGCACATACTTAGTCCTCTGCCCAGGTTGGGTGGGATTACAGATTGTGCAAACGTGTGTCACGTTTGAGGGAGTGTGTCTGGCAAGTGGTGTTGGGGGTAGCCCGCACACCTGCAGGGAAGCAGCCCCCCTGGCATGCAGAGGAAGGAGACCGGCCTGCTGGCCCTTCCTGCTGTCTTCAGGTCCCCCACCCTCCTCCACCTCTCCGGCCTCCTGCCACATCCTGTGTGTCAGAGCCGCCCAGGCTGCAGCGGTGAATCACTCCTGCAGAGCTGCTCACCTGGCCCGCCTCAGGATGGTGTCCTGGAGTAAAGTGTGAGGTCCTGCCTATTTAGTCCCATGGCCGGGAGCGCCTTCCTGGGGCCAGCACACCCCTCCAGGGTTCTCAGTTATTCATTCTTTCCTGTTTCTGTGGTCACATCACTCCTTAGGGCTGAGGTCACAGCTCCCAGGCTCCCTCCTGCCCTAGCAGCTCTTACTCCCTGAAGGCGGATGGAAGGCAGGCAAGTGACTTCCCTCTCCCTGTGCCTACCTGGTTGGGCCCCTGGGAGAACTAAAGGAGAGAGTTCTTAGCCTGGGATAAGAAAGGCTCTGTGACGTCACAGGGGAGAGGGGTCTAGAAGCCACACCACTGCAACAGGCATGATGGCCGTGATTGCTGTTCTAGGCAGCTCTGGGGTGATGCCGATGCTGGGAGCTGTCAGAGTTCATGAAACCAACCTCAGTGGGCTTCCTGGAGGAGGGGGTCCCCAAAATGAGTGAGGTTGGGCGAGGCAGAAAAGAGAGGTGAAGATAGCCCAAGTCTGGTGTGGGGATCTAGGGACCAAAAGCCCAGAGGTGGGGACTTAGGGCCAGTTCAGGGGCCCAGGGGGGCTAGTCTGTGGGTCCCTGAAGGGGTCACAGCAGCCGAGGAGCCTCAAGGTCACTTGCCAAGCTAAGGAGTGAGGGCCTTGCATTCTGCCCTCAGATTTTTCCTGTGGCTGCTTTCTTCTTGCTGTTCAAGTTTCAGCTCAGATGTCCTCTCCCCAGAGAAACTTCCCTTTCAATTCCTTGCTAGCCTTTTCTCAGATGTTGCCTTGTTCTGGGGTTTCTCCTCTTCCTAGACCATAAGCCTGATGTGGACAGAGACCCTGTGTGTCTCGTGCACGGCTACACACCAGAGCCTGGCATACAGAGGCATTCCACATATATACGGAGTGAATAGTTGCATACCTGATGGTCACTGGTGAGCCACGGAAGGTTCTGGAGCAGAGGAGGAGCAGAAGTCCTAGGCACTGACTCCCGGGGAGGCAGAGTGAGGCCTTGGACAGGATGAGGAACAAGGTCTGGGAAGAGATCGAGCCGGGTCTAATTTGATGTTTTTGAGCAGGTGTAACTGTCCCAGCTCAGGGAAACAGAGCTGAAGGGATGCTCACCATACCTACTAACTCTGGTTTGGGAAAACCCTTGAGCTGCCTTGCTGGAACAGCCGTTCACCCAGGCACTAATTATTTTCCAGAGCACGGAGGTGGAATTTGGAACTTCCCAGCATACATAGGGAAAGGCCTGAACTACTACCAGTCCGGCCCATTTGTGGGGTACAAACGGAGGCCACCCAGGGCAGTGGCCATACCACTCAGGCAGAGCACAATGGGAAGGCAGCTTCCCAGCCTAGCCCTGCAGGTGCCAGACCCACACCCTGCTCCAGGGCACCCCGGAGGCCCAGGCACATATCCAAGGGGTCAGAAGCAAGGACAGCCACTTAGCTGGGGGTTAGGAAGTCTCAGTGTGTCTATCAGCTCTGGGTCCCCTCCCTATCTGAGGCCTCCATTGAGCCATCTAATCCCCAGGTGCTGGGCAGGGCCAGGTAAGGGCACCAGGGGGAGATGGCCACAGGGTCTGGCAGTGTGCGATCTATTAATTCAAAGGCATGAGGTCTCACCACGGGGCCTTCCCTGCAACAGGCTTCCATGGGCCCCATGCACAGCCGAGGTAGAGAGCCGGCAGGAGAAAGGTGGCCAGCCCACAGCCGCTCCTGGCTGGGCATCTTGGAAAGGATCACAGATGTGTTTATCACTGGCTCCCTTGCTCCTACTGTGAGAAGACAAGACTCAACCCGACTGCGGGTTCTGGGCTTGTTGGCCACGGTGAGAGAGAAAGGGAGGAGGAAGTCGGGGAAAGGGTACGTGTCCTAAGGGGCAGAGGCGGTGGCAGGCCCCATGAGGGGGTACCCGGGGCAGCCCACTGCCTCACCTGGCAGATGAGGGAAGGTAAAGGCTATGGGGCACCCTCCCCTTACAGATTTCCAGCTTGGGTGTGAGCCCGGGAGGAGCCAGGCGCTCCCCACTGGAGATGTGGGCCCTGGGCCTAGGGAGGTGGCAGCAGTGCTGCAGGCCAGCAGGGCTTTTCCTCCCCGCATCGTCTGCTGCAGCTGTGTGGTCCACAAGGTCGAGTGAGAGTGGCCAGGTGAGCAGATCAAGGGGGCGGGGGGTGGTTCCCGACAGCTCTTTCAGGAAAGTGATTTTAGAATTGCGGTCTCTGTTTACTGGCATTTTAGGGCCATAATATTTCTGGGTTGAAATCCCAGACTGTTCAGGTTGGGGTTGTAGAATATTAGGTCCACATCCTCACAGGTGGAGTTGGGAATCATAGGATCTTTGGCTGGGAGGGAGAGAGGTGTTGGAGGCATGGGACTGAAACCTTTGGGTGGTGGAATTTGTGGCTTTGTGTGAATTCTTTCCAGCCTTTTGGGGAGATGAGCTAGTCTGGAGACCTCTAGGAAGAAGAAGGGGATCCTGAGCAGGGCTTTGAAGGCTAAGGAGGAGTCCTATTCACAAGGCAGGTGGGAAGGAGGAGGATAATTTAGGCAGTGCGGGCAGCTGGTGGGGTGCTCGGTATGTCTGGGAGAGAGGGGTAATAGGTGATGAGACTGTACAGGGAGCTAGGACCAAATGCAGGGCCTTGAATGCCAGTTCAAGGAGTGAGACCTTCCCTTTCCCCCTGCAGGAGGTTCCCGAAGGAGCTTTGGTCGGAGAGTGTCTGGGCAGATTTCTGGCCCTCTCTGGGACACAGAGGAGAACAGAGTGAAGGGGGCAGGGCACCAAGATCTGCCCAAACCCAGCGGGGGGCCACAGGGGAGTGGGGAGGGACAGCCATTTAGGAAGCAGAATAGATAAGAGGCACTTTGAGTTGTGTTTGGGACGGATGGGTGGGTGCCACTTCTCACTGGGGTCAGGACCTGGAGCGGGGGGAGACCAGTCTCAGGGGAAATTGATTAGGGTTCCTTTGGGACTCGGAGACCCTGTGGG